GGTGTTGCTTAGAAAGTATTAAATCAACTTCAGATTGTGCAAAATGCAACAGCCAGACTTCTTACAAAAACCAATAAAACTGAACATATTACACCAGTCTCAGGAGCTTTACACTTGCTACCCAGTGCTTTAATAATTGATGTTTAGACTTTACATATTGAAAGCCTTTCATGGCCTGGAGAATATATACTCAAATTGCTGTTCCCACATTAACCAGTGCATAGGTTTAGATCACGAGGCAGAAACTATAATAACCACGTAAAAGCCATAGTTGCTTATCAGTCGTGTTTTGTGGTTGTTTCGACAGGACGTGACCATCACCAATGATGGAGCAACCATCCTGAAGCTGCTGGAAGTGGAGCACCCAGCTGCAAAGGTCCTGTGTGAACTGGCTGATCTGCAGGACAAGGAGGTCGGCGATGGGACAACATCTGTGGTGAGTAGCTACCACTAGCTCCACTGGTGTTTGTGAATGTTTTAGCAGCTAATTTGTTGGATTTTACATAATACAGAGCTTCAGAAACTGAATTGCAGCATCCTGTTTTAGTACTATGCACCTGCTTCTTATTACGGGTGTGTGGCTATGCTAACAGGAAAGAGAAACTGTCCATCATGATCTGAAAGGGTCGAGCAGCCTCATTTCTGCCACTCTTAAAGAAATGATGGTACAGTGCATGATCCGTATCTTTTGAGTTTTATTGTTGATAGAAAATTAAGCTTGTTCCCATATTTTAGCTCGCATTGTTTGCGTTGCTTTTTCTCAGGTAATTCTTGCTGCAGAGTTGCTCAAGAGTGCCGATGAGCTGGTGAAGCAGAAGATTCATCCCACATCAGTCATCAGTGGATACCGTCTGGCTTGCAAGTGAGATGATGTTAAATGTAAAATCATCCAAATAAGATCATTTAGGATCTGTTGCAGTTTTGTGATGCTCAAACTTGTCGTTATCTTTTAGAGAAGCAGTCCGCTACATTAATGAGAATCTCACTATTGGAACAGACGACCTGGGAAGAGAATGCTTAATCAACGCCGCTAAGACCTCCATGTCTTCCAAAATCATCGGCGTGTATCCTTTATTTGTTTGCAGGAAATCAGCAAAATTTACCAGTGTTTATATTTTGCATGTGCAGAAAGCTTTTCTCACTCTCTAAAGTAATTGCCTTGACCCAAGCCTTCAGTGATGCAGACTTCTTTGCTAACATGGTGGTGGATGCTGCCATGGCTGTGAAGTTTGTGGACAGCAAGGGGGTAGCTAAATATCCTATCAACTCAGTTAATGTGCTGAAAGCCCATGGCCGCAGTCAGAAGGAGAGTTTCTTGGTCAACGGGTATGCAGTGAACTGCACAGTCGGTTCACAAGGTAAGTCTGTCACAAAGCCTGAAATTCATGGATTTTAAGTGTAAAAAGTGAGGATGTTGGTGATTTCTTTTGATTAGACTCCCATTTAAATTTGCTGCTATGTCTTTCCTGATGGTGTATGCAGTGATACGCGTGGGAGACAGTAACCATGGCTAAGAGAAAGGTAGTCATAGCAGTTTGTGAACTGTGGCAAAGCCTCTTTTGGCCTGACAGTAGAATAGTTCAGGGACCGTTTTTCCCTTCAAACAGTTTTGTAACTGTTTTTATAATTAATTTTTATTGTCCTTTGGATTTTTAAAATGATATATTGTGTCACAGGCATGGTGAAGCGTGTCGTTAATGCCAAGATCGCTTGCCTGGACTTCAGCCTGCAGAAGACCAAAATGAAGATGGGTGTGCAAGTTATTATTAATGACCCAGAGAAGCTCGACCAGATCAGACAAAGGTGATTTTTGAACATTTTTTTTTCTTTTTCTTTAAACAGACACATTTTTAAGAATCATCCCATTAAATTTACTGTGTTGCTTCATCATTAGCTGACACAGTGATACGCGTGGGAGATATCATAAGCAGCCACATGTGAAGGCAGCAGCTCTTCCCTGAGATGCATGACTACTAATGTTGGCTGGACACTTTGTGCATAGCATGCCTTTATAAATATACTGTTTAAAGTGTTGCAGCTTATTGTGAAACTGATAACAAAGCTCAAAACAAAGGAAATGTGGAGGTAAAACTAAATATGTATTTTTGGTTGGTTGCAGGGAATCTGATATTACCAAGGAGAGGATCCAGAAGATTTTGGCATCAGGCGCAAATGTTATACTGACGACTGGTGGCATTGATGACATGTGTTTGAAGTATTTTGTGGATGTAGGAGCCATGGCTGTTAGACGAGTTTTGAAGAGGGACCTCAAACGCATCGCAAAGGCAACAGGAGGTAAGAAAGAAGTAAGCTGCAGTTTGTGTCGATTGGCATTTACTGCTTTTAATATTCACGTATGCATTTAGATGCGTCTGTCACACACTTAAATTTAGAGTTTCCACCAGCAAATATTCATGTTTGACCTTGTGTGTGTTTGTCCATTCATAGCCACCATCTGCCCTTCTCTGACCAATCTGGAAGGAGAGGAGACGTTTGAGGCCACTATGCTTGGCCAAGCTGAGGAGGTTGTGCAGGAGCGCGTCTGTGATGACGAGCTCATCCTTGTCAAAAAGTAAGAAATAAGAACTAGCAGCTGCTTGAGTAGTGGTGAGTTGCAGTTGCATGAGTATAAAGGATTTAATTAAGTGCACTTCTTCTACAGCTTTGGCAAAAGTTGAGGGTTTTCCCTTGTACAATAATTGTCCACATAAGACCCCTCCTTTTTTTTTGTTTTTGTTAATTAAAGGCTGATGTCGTATTGTCGTCACCCTGCCAGGTGCGTGGCATAGTCACCCAAATTAGTAAATGCAGTAATTTGAGTAAAACAGTAATGCAGGATTTTGAAATTGATTCCATTGGTGTATCTACTCAAAATCTGAGTTTGTCTCAGTGACTTTTCTAAAAATAGCTTAGATTTTGCTGGGAGGCTGAGGAGCAGCACTGGCAGCTTCCAGTTTTTCGTTTTTGTTTTTTTTATCCCGGCAGTTAGCTTTGAAAAAGTCAGGACTGTGTGATGTTTACAGATGAGACAACTATGTGTTTGCATGCATTGTTTTTGAGTGATTATGAATAATACAAAGCCATTTGGAATAGGCTCACATTTTTCTGATAAAAATTGGAAGTAATTGAATGGCATGGTCAGTTTGAATGAGCCATATATTTTCAAGTTTAGCATTAATTGGTTTAGAGCCTCAATACTGCTAGGGTATTGGGTTTCTCTGTTTATTCTGATACTGCGTGTTGGCCCAGTTTAACTTGAATGAGTTGCTGTAGGTTTGTAAACCATTGTATGACAACTGGAAACAAATTGATTGCATTCATAGCACAGCATATGGTGGACGTGGACCAAAAAACAAACAAACAAAAAATATATATATCAGTCAAATGCCAAGAAATATGGCTAAGAGATGAGTTGAGAGCCTCAGAAGTTATTTCAGAGATAGTGACTTCCAGAATGAGTCTGTAACTGATGTCAGATGCCTTATGCAAGATTTTGTAACCTACTTCATGTTACATTAACATGAAATGTGAGGATTCAGTGAGGACTACATTTTCCTTGAATTTCCTTGAATACCCAGGGAAAGTTTACAGACCTAAAGGACGGGTTTGGCTCGTCTTCTTGTCTCTAAAAACAAAGTTTGTTGCAGGGGATCAAGTTCTAGTTTTGTATTTGATAATTTTGTATTTGATTTTAAAGTCCTTTTGTTTCTACACCTAGAGTTGATTCTCATTCTGATCACTATATTTCCTGACTTTCTTTCCCCTCAGTACCAAAGCACGCACATCAGCCTCCATCATTTTGCGTGGAGCTAATGACTTCATGTGTGACGAGATGGAACGTTCACTGCATGATGCTCTCTGTGTGGTCAAGAGGGTGCTGGAGTCAAAGTCTGTAGTGCCCGGAGGAGGTGCTGTGGAGGCAGCCCTGTCAATTTATCTGGAGAACTATGCTACCAGCATGGTGAGCTAGCAGCTGCTGGGAATCTGCGGTTGATGCTTTTTATTTATTTTTTTTTAATTAAAGTAAATTGTGCTCATCAATTTGCTTCAATCTCTTTAGGGTTCCAGAGAGCAGCTGGCTATTGCAGAGTTTGCTCGATCTCTCCTCGTCATCCCCAAGACGCTGGCTGTGAACGCAGCACAGGACTCAACTGACCTGGTGGCCAAGCTGCGGGCCTTCCACAATGAGGCTCAGGTTAACCCTGAACGCAAGAATCTCAAGTGGTGAGTCTTACCTCAGCTGCAAGTTTGTTTATTAGGCATTTCCATTCAGTTAGTCCTTAAACGAGCACACTACTAACATGTAATTACACTGTCAGTGGTTTGTCTCTGGTTCCTTCTCAGTCAGTTTTGATCCTAAAGTTAATCTGCTGTTAGATTTTCCTATTTTGTCTTTAAACTGTTTAAATATGCCAGATTTTTTAGATTATATATTTTTTTTAGACAGAACTGTATGAAAGTAAGATTTTATTTTGAAGTTAATCTGTCTTGGACGCTAAGTGAATTTGCATATTTTGGATTCCTTGTCCTTTAGGATTGGTCTGGACTTGGTGAATGGCAAACCCAGAGATAACCGTCAGGCCGGTGTGTACGAACCCACGATGGTTAAGACAAAGAGCCTCAAGTTTGCCACTGAAGCTGCCATCACAATCCTCCGCATCGATGACCTTATCAAACTGTTCCCAGAGCCGAAGGAGGGCGGGCATTCGTACCAGGAAGCTGTGGAGTCTGGATCACTGCAGGGTTAAGAGGCTCCAAATTGGTCCCAATAGATTCAACTTCTGTATTTATACTCGAGAAGCTCTCCGTGGCTGTTGCTCTAGTGTAGGCTGTGCACGTTGCCTGTTTACTGTTCTCCCACTCCCTCTGCCTTGGAGCTCTGTCTTCTAGAAGAACTGTAAGCGATTGCTTTTTTTTTTTTTTTTTTTGGACACTTAATAAAGCTCAGATGGTTGTAAATGAGTGCTGGAGTAGTCCCTTCATAATAACTTTCAAACACATTCAAGTTTATAAATCTTTAATTTCTCAGATTACAGGAAAAATATCTGCAGACATGCCCAAGTACAGGAAGCATGAGGTTTAAGAAGGCAAGCATACTTATGGCACTTTTCTGTTTGAAGGCTAATGCCTACGCAATTTGAGAAGGTCCCTTTAATTCCACATGGGAAGATACTGGAATGTTCAGGTTTTTAGAGCAAGCGTATTTAAAATCCTATAAGATTAGGAATAAATTACATTCTTCAGAGACAGTAACATGTTTGTCCATACTTGGTACTAAAAACTATCTTTTACAGAGTTAGTGTTAAACCTTATTTGCCTGTATAAGTAACTGATAGCAGCTGGTTTTTAAATGGAACAGTATTAGTTGTCTGCTTGACAACTATTGAATGTAATATGGGCTCTGTCATATTACCAGCATTGTTATATTTAAGCTGCTACTGGTATTACACATTAGCCATCAGTATATGCTAGAGTTACATATTTGTACTGACAAGACTTCTATCATTAATTCACAAAATTCAAAAGCTAAAACCTGAGGACAGTTGAGTTTAAAATGAAGATCACAGTGAAAATTACAGCACACACTCAGTTTTGCCTCAAGTGTTGTGATGTAAAGATGATAAGTAAACTTTCTATTGCGTATTAACCCTGTTGTATAAACAATGATTTTCAGTAGCCATTAAAAAAAATAAGATGAGATCAAGTGCAATATATTAAACAGCACAGAGGTACATGTCTCAGACTCTTTCTACACACATGGCGATACCCATTCCTCCACCAATGCAGAGAGATGCGATTCCCTTACGCCCTCCGGTCCTCTGGAGAGCATGCAGCAAGGTCACCAGCACTCTGCAGCCAGACATGCCAATAGGATGGCCCAGAGAAATGGCACCACCGCTCACATTTACCTGAAGAGAAAGGGACAGGGATGATTAACATCACTTACTCTTTAAGGCTGATTCTAACCAGATGAAAGATGGTATACTGTAATTGCAGCTATTGCACAATTACAGTATACCATTAAAAACTTTAAAAAGTAAGTAAACTTACTTTTTAATGTTTTTTGTATAATTATGTGTTTGTATCTGTAGCGCAGCATACCGATCCCATGGATGATTAATATATCTTTTCTTGCCATGAGCTGAAACCACTGCAGAAACTTTTTTGAGGGATCACAGCACAGCAGGCTTGAGTCAAAATCAATTTCCAATTCATATGGTCTTTTCTTACAAAAAACATACAAAAAACAGTAATACTGTTAAGAATCACCTTTTCTTCATTCAGGCCAAGCTCTTTGACCACAGCAACTGACTGTGCAGCAAATGCTTCATTGATCTCAAATAAGTCGACCTGGTCCAGCTGCCAGCCTGCTTTCTCAACCTGGGAGGAAATGAAAGTTGTAAGTAGTAAAAGATATATAAATAAAATTCCTATTATCATATTTTAATCGCTGTAAAATTCTCACCGCTTTCCTAATGGCTGGTATTGGTCCCGTTCCCATGATAGAAGGGTCGAGACCAGCTTGAGCCCAGGATACAATTCTGGCCATTGGTTTTATGCCACGCCGCGCAGCCTCTGATTGGCTCATCAGGACAGTTGCTGCTGCTCCATCATTTATACCTATGAAGAGATAAAAGCAGGTTTCAAAATATCAGTGTAATTCTGCTCCAACCTGCTGGCAGATATCTCAGTGTAAGTGGTGGTTCACGAATAACCCTGGAACCTGAAGCATTTCCTGCGGTGACAGTGCCGCTGCTGTCCTTGACGAAGCAGGGTTTGAGTTTTGACATGCTGTCCATGTTGCTACCATGCCGAGGAAACTCATCAACCTTCACCTCCACTGGACCTGAAGGTCAGAGAAACATGTTTGCACTTTATGCATCATCATAACTATCGTATAGAACTGTGGATTAGAAACCTACCTTTTCTGGATGGCACCATGATGGGGACAATCTCCTGATCAAAGTACCTCGCCTTCTGTGCAGCTTCTGTTCTGCTCTGAGACTTGACAGCAAACCTGTCCTGTTCCTCCCGACTGACACCCCACTGCTTTGCAACATTCTCAGCTGATAAAAGAAGAATCAAACAAGAAGTAATGAGTGATACAATGCAGCATACAACCACCGGCTGCTGTGTGAAAACAGATCCACATCCTAACCCGTGATTCCCATGTGGTAGCAGTGGAAGATGTCCGTCAGGCCGTCTGCCACCATGGAATCCTGCAGGGAGGCATCGCCCATCTTCACTCCTGCTCTCATATGCACTGTATGAGGAGCCTGAGTATACAAAGAAGAAAACAAGCAGATTGTTTCTTATGCTGAGATTCTACCTGTTTACACAGGTTCACAGGTGAAATAGTGAATTGGTAAGCTTGACTGGCCACTTTGTTAGGTACACCTACTCAACTGCTTTTAGCACAAATAATCAACCTATAACATGGGAGTACATTCAGCTTCATTTTAGAAAAGTGCTTTGAGTAAAAAAGCGGTATATACCAGTCAAGTAGATATCACAAGTTCAAATTGAACAATTTGTCATACTGTACAAGTATACATACTGTCATACTTTCACAATAAACTTTAAAAATCTCTAAACAATCTGATCGGTTTCCATTTTCATATCTTTCTTCCTCATTCATTACCTACCCTGCTCATGCTCTCCATGCCTCCTGCCACCACCACAGTGGACTCTCCAGTCAGGATGGACTGAGCTCCCAGGCACACAGCCTTTAGCCCAGAGCCACACACCATCTGGCAGCTCCAGGCCGGGACAGGGTAGGGGATACCTGCTCCAACACTGGCTTTACGTGTTGGATTCTGCCCATGACCTCAAAGAGAGAGAAGCAAAAATGTAATTATAGAAGGCTCATGACTGGCTGGAAGTATTGCCAAACATGTCAAATCTTTGATGTTCAGTAGATATTCCCAAATCTGCCTTCCTTTTATCTTAGTTTGTTCAACAGTTTCTACCTGCTGTTAGGACATGTCCCATGATAACCTCAGAAACCTCATCTGGTTTCACCCCAGCCCGCTTCAGGACATCCTTGATCACTGCTGAACACAGGTCATGTAGAGGCACCGTAGACAAAGCACCGTTCAAGGACCCTTCATAAAAATGGAAAGTTCGTTTTACGAAGAAGTAAAGAACTCCAAAATGTTTTTATTTACACGGTGAGTCATTCTGGTAACAGTTTTAGGCCAGTAAGGTATATTTAAGTCTATTCAAAATAGAATATAGGAATGTTTTCAGACAATCTGACAATTTCAGCCCCTGAAAAGTCCAGCCAGCTTTCCAAAAGTCAAAACATATTTAATTTAAACGCTTAAAACCAGATCAAGACAATGCAGATGAAAAAACTACCAGTTATTAATTCCAATTCAATTCTATATCAAAGTTAGAGTTGCAAAATCAAGACTTTTTATTTAGTTTATATCTGCAGAAAATAAAATAATACACATAGTAAAATTTGGTAAATGACTGAATTTAATGCCAAATTTAAAAATAATCACATCCTGGTAAGAAATCACGCCCATCTTGCTCCACACAGCGTGCACGTTGTAGGTAGCCAATGGTAGCAGTCTCGTGCTCCGTGGCACTATGACCAGTGAACCAATCAGTGACAGCAAAACACTAGACATAAGAGCGAGCCAATAGCAGGTCTGCATGACTTGGCGTGAACTGAAGGACACGATCCAATTAAGGAAATTAAAAAAAATGTCAAGCAAAAGCTGCTAGTGCTAATATAAATAGTACAGGATATACGCAGTATGCTATACACAAAACAAGCTAGCAACGAAAAACGTATTAACAACAGAAATCAGTACAGCTATCTGTCTGCATCAGTAAGCCGCATTACAGCAACGTTGGGCGAGCTCCGCTTAATGAATATTTTTACTTATTGTGGTTTAGGCTTTACCAATCGGCGTCCGGGCGGCAGAAACGATGACGACACTGTCGGTGCTCATGTTGACAAGCAGGTGTTTGAAGCTGGAGTCCTCGCTCAGAGTGCTGGTTCCTGTCTGCACACTCGCTCTGCGCTGTTGACAGTGCGTGGACGTCTGTTTTTCTACAAATGTAACTGAGAAGGGGGCGGGGAGCCACAGCGCCACCATATGGTTGGGAGGATAAATGTTTATTCATAAAAAATACCTTTATCCACCTTGGATGTTTTGTGGAGTCTATTTAATATTTTATTTATATTTACAGTCCATTGGATTATTGCCATGTTAAGCTTGCACTTAAATTTATAAGCACTTTAACACCCCATGTTTTACCTTTTTCTACTTCTTAGCATGACCCAATTTTAACCAATTGATGCCTGACATTTACATTGTATAACAGAGTTTTTAATCTTATTTTCATAAGGCACATAATGAGTTTTATTGGTTCTTAAACATTTTTAAAAAGAGCTGCTTAAATTTTTTCAAGCTCAAAAACCTTTGTTTTGTGGTAATAAGACAAGTCATGGGAAAATGCTGCTTTGTCACAGGTTGTAAGATAAATTACACAAGTCCTTTTACATGTTTATGTCTCCTCTGACTCATCCGATTATAAGGCTACATGAAATAATGAGTTTCCACATTTAATTTAGTTAATAATAGGTTTCACACCATAGTATTAAAAATCTTTATTGGTATTTGGTCAGTACATGAAAAGGACTGAAGTCAGAATAATATGAACATCGCATATGAACTACTCACATTTCAACAGAAATTTTTTTTTTTAACCGAATGGGTCTTTTTTGCCAATGAAAAATTAAAATTGCACTAAAAAAAAAAAGAAAAAAAAAAGAAAGAAAACACAGGTCAACATCTAAAAATGACCTTGAATATAGCGAAGCTACTGTAATTCAGTGATTTTACTGACTTTTGACAATGACTTACACCAGATGCCTGATTTCAGTGTCAAGAGCTAAAAGAAGAACAGCCTAGACGTGCTCAAATAAACATCAGAATCAAACATCCACGCAATTTAAATCTAACATTAAACCATTCCTGTTATATCCCCGTGTAGCAACACAAATGTGACAGAGGCATCACGATGGGCAGGGAGAGAAGAGTGAAAACAAAACATCTTGGACAGCAGTGCTGTGTTAAAGACTATGCATTTGTTGCTATGTCTGTATACGGTATAAAAAAAAGAAAGAAAAACAAACAAACAGATAATACATGTCAAAGTACACTACAAAACTGCACCATCGCTTGTCCCGGTGTCCAGGCCGTTCTGAGCGTGCCGTGACCCAGCAGTCCTGCTGCCCTTGGTCACCAGGGCAGCCTTGTCCTCATGGGGGTCGGTGGTGGAGTCTGTGTCATTCGAGTGCTGAGTCAATGATGTCTCGCTGCCTGTCGGAGAGTCCACGCTCTCGTACCCCGCACTCAGCTGGCTACCGAAACCCACAGGTCCTCCAACTCTGCCAGCAGCAGTCTGACTCCCTGTCACTTCCTCTGAGTGGTTGGAGAGTTTGGTCTCAGCTTCGCCAGGGCTTGAAACCATGGGGGACATGGGAAAGTCTTCCTCTGTGCTGCTGACCTCTCGGTACAGGCTGGGTGTAGTGGTCTCGCTCCTCTGGGATGAGCTGCCATTGCTTGGACCATTGAAGACCCTTCCGTAGTCTTTGCCCATTGTTTCAGAGGGTGCGCCGGCCTGCCCGGGCTGAGCGGATTGTTCCGCACATGAGCTGGAGGCAGTGGGTGAAGTCCTACTGGGTCCTGCTCCAGCTGAGGACCCCTGAGACTGGGAGAGCTGCTGACGGGTCTCTTTCAGCTGCTGCTGCAGGACGAGGATGGTGCTCTGCATGCCTTCCACCTCCTCATCTAGCTGGATGATAAAGTCATTCAACTCTGGGATCGACAATTCAGGAACAGACAAAGAACAAAGTCAGAAATGAACACAAATGTCACAGGATTAATGGCGCAAATATGAGATACGGTCACAGTTGGCCAGGCTGTAGGGTATAGATGCAATGTTCTCACCGTCTTGGCTGCTCTTAAGCTCCTCGCTGTACTTCTTCTGGAGGGCCAACTCAGCCTCCAATTGGGCAATGCGTCCCTGGGACAGCTGCCGACCCAGCTCCTGGTTTTCCTGAATCAGCATTCGACACTTGGCCATCAGTTTCTTCCCTGTTTGGCTGTAAGGGAAACAAGTCTCACATCACACGGTGAACCAGGAGACAAACAACAGGCAAAGAGGTCCCATTGATCTGACCCACTTTGCGATTTGCCAAGGGTCAAAAGAAACTCTTCAACCTGGTTGTCCGTAAATTGATCTAACCAAAACACAAATGTCATTAAATCTTTCAGACTTCAAAACAACATCAGGAACCCACTGACACAAATCTGTCCTGTACAAACACATATCAAAATCCATGGAAAAAACACTTTTTTCTGCAAGTGAAATTAAAAGTTGAATGATGTGTATTGAAAATGGTCCCCACTTTCCTGAAACTCAAAAACAGTGTTACACTTTAACTGTATGTTGAAGAAAGGTGGGCATTTTGGTATCGATTCGGTCACTAGCAAACTTTCAATTTTAAATAATCTTGCTACATCACTGGGTGTGAGGAACAAGCACAATGAAAAAAATGTAACATAGCAGTGTGATATTAGGGTGACCCAGGACATTTTAAATACCAACCTTTAGCTATGAGTAGCAAAAAGCAAATGTGCACTGCAAAACCAGGCACAGGTTTTCTGTAACCACTTGAAATACACAGAAAGTAAGTGCTTCAACAGTAAACTCAAATAGCTTCAGGTGCTGCTTTCTCAACATTACAAAAGGTCAAGAAACAGGGCAACAGTCCAGCACACCATTTTACATTAGTAGGTATTGTGGTTGTTCTTTTAAAAAGGTCTTAATCAAGAAGCCAAAGATAACTGACTTCATGTAATGCTTTAAACCATTTTTCCCACCATGCATTTGGTCTATAAATAAAGACGTTATATAGTCAGAAGACACTAAAATAGTAACATAATATTAAAGTAAGCAAAGTGATGATGGTAGCTTCAAAGTACCTCACAACCCTGATCAAGAACAAATGTTATTTATAATTATAATATATGATTATGTATTTACATCAGTATCATTTACTGGAACCCTCCTCCATTCTTACTCATAACCATTACTGCCTCTGCAGGAGGAAATGTGTTTTAAGATGTTCAGATTTCATCATTTAGTGTGAGAGCAGAGTAAAAATTGTTGTTGTTATTTGTTTTGTTTTTTTAAAGACAAAAAGTAAAACAGACCCCATGAGGGATTCACAGCGTGAACAGTGCTAAGAGCTGTGCTACACAGGTGAGAAAGGAAAATATAATCATCTATTTGTGTAAATGGCTGAGGGAAAGATTGTTTGGTCAATCACAAAAATACACAGAAATACAATCAATACAATCTCATAAACTCATAACAGGACTTCTTGAAGACATCTTTAGTCACAAATTGAAAACAGGACTTCGTGCACCTACAGCAGTGTGTTTTGGTAGGAGAAATTAAGCAAAGCTTAATTCGGCATTAAATCCCACGTGAATATTTTTACACAAGTATTCAGGGAAGGCCAATCATGCTTCTTAGCTCACACACACTGCAGTAAGTGCTTGTTTCAGAGAAACAAAATCAAATTAAATACCAATAAAAATAAACAAGTCACAAAATAAAACAAGTAAATACACTCTACCGTGTGCAGGCCCATGCTCAAAGACACAGGCGAATGGACCCTCATGCCTGAACCATAGTCCTTGATGGACCGAGGATCTGGCTCCGCTCACAGTCTTAATGTCATTTCTAGTGGCTCTTCCCCCAAAGTCTTACTTTTAAATCCTAGAAACTTTCCTCATATTACTGGAATGTATCTAGACTGTCCAAACAGTCTCTGCATTTCTCAGCAGGTCTTTGTGTGGTCTATTCCACTGTTAATGTCTTTTTAACCCAAGTATGGGAATCGTCTTTAAAATGTTCAATTGCCGTTTTAGGCTAGGGATCCTCCCTGCCTGACTCAACCTCCATATTACCTCCACCATAACCCCCCTATTTAATAAGCGAACTGTCTGGTTTGAGCGGCGGGGGCAGGGAGGCCATATCCACGTCGGGAAGCGAGTGACCACCTCTTCAGGAACAGTCCGGACTCCTTCAGGCCCTTGGACGGTGAGGGGAACTCGAGGGGAGAGAGCTGAAACACAAGTGTCACCTGACCATACTGTCTTTTCTCTTTAGGTTATGTGATATGTAGCTGGCACAGTGCAAGAGTACAAAAACAGTTTGGGGTTTGTTTGGTTTTTTTGGGAGTGACTGGCTTTCTGTAAAGTCTGAATCTCGTGGTGAGTACAGCACTTTGTCAGCCTTCCCCCCCACCATTGTTCCTGCATGTCTGCAGTGAGAGTGAGGGTGGGGGGCGTGAGGAAGTCTTGACTTTTCTGTTTTGTTTTGTTTTTTGAGGGGGATTATTTTGATTGTCTTTACCTATCAGGTGTAAATTTCCAGGCACTCAGTTCATTTTGGGCCTGCTCCAGTTTGTCTTTAGTCTGTTCCAGTTCAGCCTTCATTTTGAGGAAAAACAAGTTGATGGACGGGTCCACCATGGACGACCGCAGTTGGGCCACGCTCGGCTGCTGGACTTGCTTGAGGTACTGGATCTGCGTCTGCAGGATACAACAAACACATGTCAGTGGCAGGAACAGATAAACAAGTGTTTTATCATGGTTCAAGAGAACATTCTTGAGTTTGGCTCCGATCTCCAGTAGCCGTGTTTTTCCCTCTTAAAAAATAAACAAAATGTATAAAATTGGAAATCGCAATCTTCTGATGGAAACTTTTGATGTGGACTCAAACAATTTAAGCATATTGCCTTCCATCTACAAAGTTTTCAAGACAAAATCTCTAAGTGAACAATTACTTCCAATTATTTGACAGCTGCCTTTCCAGGCCCGGGGAGATCAGACTGGTCCAAAAAAAACCCAAAAAAAATAAAAAAACTCACCTGCCAAAGTTATGAAGACATCAACCATTTTTTGTTGGGGTTTTTTTTGTGTGTGTGTCTCAAACACATTTAGCTTAAAATTCTGGCATTTCT